TAATAATAATATTGTAACAAATAATATCATAATTATATTAATAACTCTAATATTATTATTTTATCATATAATATGATATTATAATAATAATATAATATAATATAATATAATATAATATAGTTATAATTTTTAATTATAATATAATTGAAATATTATTATTTCTTTTGTAATATTATAATATGTTTTATAATATTGTAATTATATTAATCATTTTAATAATATTAATATATTCTATATCATTATTATATAATATATTATTTAATAATAGTTTTATTGTATTACATTAAATATAATAATAAATATACATTATATTGTAATTCTATATTATTTTATAGTATAATATAATATAATCTAATCGTAATTTTTAATTATTTCAGTTTATTATTTTAATAATATTATTATATTCTATATTATAATTATATAATTTATTATATAATAATAGTTTTTATTATATTAAATATAATAATAAATATATATTATATTGTAATTATATATATTATATTATAGTATAATATAATATAATCGTAATTTTTAACTATCTACAGCAATTCAACCTCATAATTTATCAAACGCTATTACACTGATTTTGGAACTAGCACAGTTATTATAATTATAGTTTACCAAACACTCAGCTGCTTTTTGTAACAGTTGTTTTTTCCTTCAGCACAACTAAAATTAATTTTTTCAAAATCTATAGAACTACCAAACTAAGCCATTATCTTATGGATTTTACAAATTAAGGTTTTAAAAAAAAAAATTAAGATACATAATTTAAGGGATGGCATGAACCCTATTCAAAATTCAAAATCATGTAGAAACAGGCTATAAAGTTTGTGGAGTATTTGTGAAATTAATCCCACCTGATAAAAGAAATTGAAGGTACTATAATCGTATTGCAAGTAGTGTGCTTCTGACATTATAATTTTGTCCTTCCATTACATTCTTTTTTGGGGTAAGGGAAGTACAATATATATTTTTCTACACCTTTTGTTCTCCAAAAGTTAAAAATGCTCACATGCCATCTCAGAGAGCTGATACATACAACATATTTTGAGAGCTGACAGTCTACTACACATACAACATGACTCCAATGTCGTTAATTAAGTCACATAATAATGGTAACAACCTTAAAACAAATTCTTTTGAATAACATCTGACTTGTGTTGCTGACAAAGAGGCATCAAGTGATTGCCACCTGGTCGTGGTGAAGGTCCGAGGACGAGGCATTCTAGCCATACGGCCTCTTTGACCTTTGAAAACACAACTTAGTTGCGAAATCTTGCTCAAATGAGTACTCCATCTAAAAGTTCATTTGCTCGCAGGCTCTTGGAGGTGCGTCCCTATAAGACATAGGAGATTGTTAGTGAACTGGGATTTAGGCATTGTTTAAAAAATGTATTTAAACTCATAATTCTAATATGCTATAGTGTTTTCCTCTCACAAATAATTTGAATAAAAATTTTTCCACCAATGATTCTTTCACAAAGTTCCCGTCAATAAATTAGAATCACTTATTTGAACGCGTGAACCAAACAAGCCTTAAATGTCATAAATAGATTTTTCTCTCTCTTTCACACACTCAGCATAAAAAACAGATTTCTCTCTCGTATACAACAAGAACCAAAAAATCGATTATACAATTTTATGAGCAGGAAATATATATAGTTTATAGCTGCAGATTTGACTCTTACCAATAATTCCACACTTATTTGTAATGTTGAGGCCGTCTAAAGTTCAAATCTCCTAAAGTTCAAAATTACACTTTCGAGTAAACCAGTGAAATCTGTGCTCGTAATTTAGTAGTAACCATTAGCTTTTACCTAGGACGAAAGGCCTACAACATTTCAGGAAAAAAGAAAAAAACAATTACAGAATTCAAGAATCACAGGCGTACCTGTATTTGTTCCATATCTTTCAAACGAAAGTATATATATCTCCGTAATTATCAACATAAAGAGGGCTTTCCAGCCAAAAAAGAGAGCTAGGAAAGCTACTATATATATATATATATATATATATATATATACAGACACTGAGATATATGAAGGTGCAGAGGATAAAATATTTGAGGCTTAACTTCATTTTAACGCCATTTCTTTGTATTTATAATAGCTAGGGTACTACTCGAGATAAGACTGGAAACCTTTTTCTTTGGCATGTAGTTATACATATCTCTTTTGCTTTCACTTTAGATTGAGCTCTCATTTTAATGTGTTGCGTATGACTTTTGAAATGGACCCTTTTCGACAAGTCATATTCAGCATTGATATATTCGTTATTCACTACACTTTTTCATGACTATTCATGGCTACGTACGTGATACACATGTAACTATTTGTTAGTTAAGTTAATTAGGACTGGCCATTAAACTAAATGGATCATTATCAATGGCAACAAATTAAAGTTAAGTGGTAAATTGCCCCGTTAAACTAATGAAAAGCAATTCCCCATATTTTTTTTTCTATAAAAATATAAAATTCTTCCGATCATCCGTGATTTGATTCTTGGAGTGATTCATAAGACTAGTTATATATAGTACACATAATACCATACCAAAAAAACATATACAAGCAGACAATCTTACAATTTTTTATCTTCCTTTTTTTGTCTTCATTATTCAGATGTAATTGTCGGCTTTAATTGTTTTTTCTACAGTTCCACATGATTCATAGTTGCCTTCTATCTTGGCTTTCTCAAATGCACTAATTATTCTTTAACTACTAGTGGGGACCACATGCATCGCATGTGCTTGTTCTGTTTTTAAAAATTTATTAGTTTCATGTATAAAAATTGTAAAGTTATAGTTTTGTTTAGTTCCCTTAGAGATATAGATAAGTTATTTATCATATCAAAAAGATGAAGGTTCTTGGAAATTTTGGAATTCTGCTCTCGCTTTTTATTTAAAAAAAGGTATAGCAGAACTGGAGCTCGAAGATTAAACAACATCTTTTCTTGAAACAAACAAAAAAATGAAATTTCTTAAAACATATTAAACACTTACTAGACAGAGATACAAGAGTAAACACCCAATGATGAATTTGCAGCACACAATAATGTCGAACTTCAAAATCAAACAGATAATCTCAGCTCTTCAAAACTACATAAAAATATTAGAGACCAATACAAACGGAAAAAACGGAAATGCACAAACCCAAACACCTGCAATCTCCTCAAAGTATATAAGTAGGTTCTTCACTCCGCCGTTATTCTAATTGAGTCTCAAATTGGGACTATAGTTTTGTTTGGTTATTTTGTCGTGGTCTTTTTCTTGCCTCTTTGTTTGCCTTCCATTTTTTCTCTTGACAAATAAAGCGAAATGCTCTGCTTATTAAAAAAATAAAGTGTGAAGAACAATATGGACACAGAGGAAGGAGATGAAGAAGAAAGAAGAAGAAAAGAGATGAAGTGGGGAAAAAAAACGGAGATGAAGAACATAAAGCCAAGTCAGGCAATCAAATGTGGAGAAAGGGAAGAAAAGGAGACAAACAAAGACAAAATAGTTGAATGAAAAGTTCGAACAGTGTAAATGCGAGAGAATACATTTCAAAGTATATTAGTAGATTCTTCGTTCCACCGTTCTTCTAATCGAATCTCAAATTGGGGCTGCCAACTTGTTTGGTTATTTTGTTGTAGGCTTTTTCTTGCCTCTTTGCTTGCATTCCAATTTGGTTCTGAATGGATACTACGAAATGCTCAGGTTAATAAAGAATAATTTGGGGAGAACTACATGGACATAGAGGAAGGGAGATGAAGTGGGAAAAAAAAAAAAAAAAAAAAAGGAGATGAAAGTGAAGAGAAGGCTGTTGGGATATATGCTTGTAAATTAAATAATATGTAAATATTTTACTAATTATTAATGAAATGAGAAATTTTTTTAATATTATTTTGCATATATGTGATGTTTTATAAATATCAAAATTCCTATATTACTTTTAAATGTAACTTTAAACATTGTATATAATTGTTATATGCAGAGGATAATGTTTGAAATAAAATAATCTAAACTTGTCCGTAATTATAAATTAAAGTTGGGATCTTTAATTTAAAATTACTAATGCGGTTCATTACATTCTGAATGAAATAATCTTATCCTAGATTGTTAATAATGAGATTATTGGAATGAAAGTATTTTATGTGATATGATTACATAGGACCGGAACGCGATTAATTATGAATCTCTAATAAATTCCGTTATTAAATAGAGTATTCAATATTAATCAATGATGGTCATATATGTATTAATCTTAATTCTGAGTAATTAATAAACTCCTATTTATGATATTATGTTCTTTGACATATTGAGTAATGACACATGTGAATAGTGTCAAAGTCTTGGTATATTGGGAGCATAGTAAAATAAATAGCCGGGAATATTAATTTACAAGATGAAATCCATTCCTTCATAATGAAGTAGATGGACGGTTCCCATAAGTGTTGATTCGGGACTTGAATAATAAGAGCACTCAATTTTATGATTGGATCATAAAATATATTATTCATTAGAGGATCAATTGTACTTATGGAGAAAGATATAATTAAAAAGGTTAACGGAAAATACCTAGCTTTAATTATGAACCGTTTATGGAGGATTAATTCGTATGTAGTGACTATATCAATGGATAACACAAATTCCGTGAACATAATTATTTTTATTATTTTAGAGTGCAATTCCAAATTTATAGTGGAGTAATTTAGAATTAATAATTTTGACATATTAATTAAGGTATTAATTAATTGTCAAAATTATTGGAGCTTAAAATAATAATGTCCATAGTTCCTCTCAATGGCTCCATAAGATTAATGTGAACTGAATATATCATATTGGGTTATAATTATTAATTTAGAATTAAGAATTCTAAATATACATATATTAATTAATTTAATTAATTAATATTAAAATTAATTTAAAATTGTTTTAAATTAATTTGGATGAATTTAATTATTTTTTTATAAAAAGGAAATTTTCTTTTATTCTCCACGTTTCCTCTCTTTTCACTCTCCCTGTTAATGTGTGTGTGTATATATATATATATATATATAAATGAGGAAACGTGCAGCACGTTTCCTCATTTAAATAAAAAAAAGGGAGTGGGAGGAAACGTGTTGTTGCACGTTTCCTCACCATGAGGAAATGGAGTAAATGTGCGGCTGCACATTTACTCAAAAACGAGAATGAGTTCTGGTTTTTCTCGGAGGAACAAAAAAGTTTTTTTCCAGAGAAAAGAAAGAAAGAAAAGGAAAGAACATGAGAACAAAAGAAAAACTAAAGAAAATTTCTTCAGTGCCATCGTATACTTTTGAGAAAAATGAGTGATAACTATAGGTGGCTTTCCTATTCATCCATCTCATGTGTTGAGAAACCTATTAGAACGCCCACATGTTCGAGTTCACGTTAATCCGGAGATACATTGAGAAAGAACTATGGTGTTCTTAGAATTTAAGAGCTCAAGACGGTGTTGGAGGAGTTCAAGATTTTTGTCAAAATCGAATGACGGTCAAACCCTCATTCATTTCTTTAATATCTTTGTAGTTAAATTAACATGAAATAATGATCGCATTAAATTTTAATTTATGTGATTCGATCGATACCACACTTCCGCATAATTTTTTTTAAAAATCCGGTTTGAGAAACCATCAATTAGTATCAGAGCGGTCTTTATTTCATGCTAACTTAACGTTTAAATTATGTGATAATTCATGACTGTTTAATGGGTAGGCACTTATGCATATGATGTATAATTATTATGTGATGGTTATGTTTTATGCGAATGGATTGGTCGTAAATTTTTCCGGTTCCATGGAATTAGTTTTTGTTATTTTATTTTGATTAGATCAATTGTAAAATAGAAATCAATATGTAATTTATTATTCTCCTAACGCAAGAGGATCATCATGGAAGAGTTTCAACTATTTGTTTTTTTAGAAAAGTTCCAAACTATAAAAAAAAAAGGTTTTCCGGTGACCGTACGGTCGCCGGTGACAGTCTCCGGCGACAGTCGCCGGCAAAGGGCGGCTGCCATGGCCAAAGGTCGACCATGGCAGATCTGCAGCAGCATTGAAGCTGCTGCAAGGGACTGCACCTTAAGGTAAAGTCACGGATGATGGCCTTTGCACCATAAGGTGCAAAGGCCCAGGCCCATGAATGGGCCTGCTCTGCCTCAGTAATGAGGTTACTGAGGCAGAAACTAATAGGTTCTGGGCTGGCTTTTCCAGCCGGCCCAGATCCCAAAAGGGGGCCCAAAAACCAAATTTTTTTGATCCAGTAGAAAAGAGACATCAAGATGGAGAATATTTGAAGATGGAGAATTACAAGAAGACCTATTTTTGATATAATTTTATTTTTATTATTATGTTGGGGTTGTAATTCTTAGGTCTATAGAACCCGGCCAAGTTTTTTCATTTTGCTTGCATGTTATTTATTTATTTATTATGTTTGATAATAATTGTATTGTCATGCATCTAACATGCCATCTAGGATAAAAGTACCTACCTAGTTTATATGTATGACATGCATCATGCGCATTAATTATATGTTTTAATTCTAAAATTGTTTTAGTAAATTAAATTAATTAAATGCGCCAAATTGTTGAGTTTAATGAGATTAAATTCAAAATTATTAAATTTAATAAGATTAAATTTAAAGTTGTTAAATTTAATGAGATTAAATTTAAATAAATTAATTAGCAAATGGTTCTTGAAAAAATTTATATAAGTCAAATGTGAAATTTATAAATTTAAATGTTAAATTTTAAAATTCACAAATGACTTAATATAATTTTAAAGTTGTTTAAAATTATTTGGATCTTAGTGACTTAAATTGTTTAAATTCACTGAAAAGTATAAAGCAAGAGTTGTTTTATAAAATAAATACACCATTTGTAAATAATGAGTGGGAGCGGGTAATATGACAATACAACCCATAGGTCTTCACCGTTAGTACAACACC